GGTGTGCTATTAAGGAATTCAAGGTTACTTTAGATGGATCAGTTATGAATCGAATATATGATTATTCCAAAATTTCCGAATCATTGCGATTTTCAACCTTAAAAAAGGTTGCCCACTCATCGTCTAATAGAGTAACACAAGCTGACTGTGTAAGTGTTTGTATAAGTTTAAACTTTTTTCACTTTTTGCATTCTAACTTCCAGGATTATGTAAGTAACTTAAGAATTTATAAAGATTTTTGGATTCTTACCAGCGAAGAAAAAAATAAAATTTAAAATAATGTTCTGCGGCAAAAAATTAGATAGTAATATATATTTCTAAATTTGAAATACATAAACATGCGCTATTGTAAAATTGATTGGACTTATCACATTTAAAATTATAGTCCAATCCAAAAATTACTGTAGGTCTTTTGGTTTGGTGATTTGAACTTTCGTCTTCGAAGTAGAAAACAGTTGGATGCGCTGAGTTCACCAAAGAAAGAGCAAAAATATACAGTGGATTCTTATTTTGATCAGTTGCTTATTGATGATGAGTTAACGTTGGAACGATGTAAAGGTATGTTTACTGTTTCTTTTTCGTTCATTTTTCAAAACAATTACTGTTTTTAAAACAAGTTTTTTTCTTTAGATATATTGTTTTTTAGGTACTATTTTCGAAGGTTTTAGTGAAGCATACATTAACTTTCCCCCTACTCACAAATTTGTACTTGGAACTAACGATTATGTGAGTAATCGAATTCCATCATATACGGTATGAATTTTTAGAGTTATTAAAGTTCAAGTTTGTTTTTTGAAATTTCAGTCTTTTTGTAGCTGTACTTTGATTTTAATTTCAGGATCGAATTTTGTATCATGAAAGTGAATCAGATCGTATAAAGCCCATAAAATATGATTGTTTATGGGAAGAAAATTCATCTGATCACAAACCTGTTTTTGGCCTGTTTACAATGCGTGTCTTAGATCATCAGTACCAATCAGTTAAATAGCTTGTTAATAATTGAAGTTTTGTTCAGAAAATTTAAAACGAGAATGTTTTACTTACTTTTTGAAAGATGATATAACTATGAATTTTTTTATTATTAACATTAAATAGACATTGAATATGGTGGGAAAAATAAGGGTAATATTTGCAAAATGGTACAACGCTGTGAAAGGAAGACCATACGCTGTTCTCCGAATACACAGTACAAAACAACATTTTAAAAGGAATAAGTACTCTTTATTCTCATAGTACACACATAATATGAAATTTTTCCTGACTTTAACTAATATACAATTTTTTTCTGTCTTTTCACAAAATGATACGCTCTATAATGTTCAGTATTTGAGTTTTTTTGATGTTAAAATTAATTAAAAATGTAGTATTTCTGTAAATATATACTTCCTCATGATTACATTGCCATTTTTTTTGGCTGACTAATTTTGCCATACAAATATGACTGACATGAGTAAATATATATAAATTGTAGGTAGCATCCTTCTCAGTATAGGTTTTGATATCAAATGTATTTACAATAGTAGTAGATTGTATTTGGTGATCTTATGGTCTTCAAGTATTTCTATTTCTTCAATTCTACCATGAGCAAATTGATTTCTGTAAGTAGTTTTTTTGTTAGATTATTAGTTAACCCTACATTTGTTTCTTTATTTACTGATTCTCAAGATGGGTTCCTTCATTTTTATAAGTTTATGCTAAATCAAAATACTTAATGGATTCCGGCGACTTATTTTTATTTCGCAACTTATTGTTTGGGAAGAAACAGAATTTTTCATGTCACTTTTGCGATCTCATGTTTTTGCGACGATTAAAAAACTGCAATAGCTTATGCGTTTTTTTTAATCTTTTTATATAATTTTTTTTTCTATTGTCCAAATTGTCATTCATAATATTGTTTATCAGTTTAAATGCTAATTTTTTGATCTGAAGCATAAATGGAACTCAATAGGTTACTTTGTCGCAGACATAATGCAAATTTTAAGCTAGAAAGATTAAATTACGCACAGATTGAAAATTCAATGCAACAGCAGTCTCAAAACATTACTTTTTGTCCTCTGAAGGTAACATGAAATGGTTTTGTCTCTTCAATTTCTACATTTCTATTATTTTTGAAAGGGATTAATTTATCCGTGCATCGTAAAATTATTAAAAAGTGAACGATTTTTTTCTTATTTATAAGCATTGTGAGAAAACGCAATAGTCAGTCAGAGTTCTAACTCTTTTTTAATATATATTTCTCATGAGCAACTCACAATTAATTCCACAACTTGACAATTTTATTGAATTATGACAATTTACAGAGTTTGATCCAGCGAAGTGATAAACATCCCAGAAAAATTGAAATATCTTATCTTTCTGAATAGTAAGTTTATTTGTGTTCGCATTTGAATATTTTCAAATTGTGCTTCATTCATGCAAGATGAATTGTGTGGCAATGAATTCCATAAATGGTTGGTAGAGTGCAATAGCTTAATTTCTTTCGAAGAGAGTAAGCTGACAGTATGTGCAGCAACTGCTTTCGTCTAGAAGTCTTCTGCAATTGCTTTTTTATTTTTATTTTTAGTCAGAAACGAAACGAGGAAACTTTAAGGGTGTATGCAATCGCTGAAAGCTTTCAAACAAATTATACAGCGCAAATGATTATAAGGGATATTCGAGATAAAATGATGTCGTTTGATTCGCTGGGAATGAATCCAAGGAAAGATGTTTCTCTTGAAGATGTAGTATTTTTGAGTGGTGAAATTAGCAGTGTGCAGTAATGAAAGTTATGATATTAGAGTATGTAAAAGAAAATCAAAGTAAAGAGCATTTCAGTTGTCACAAATTACTACGATAAATATTACCTTCTAGAAGTGCTTTTTTGATTAACTGTAAAATAAAAGTATTTTTATTCAGTTGAAGCACTTATTAAGTGTTACAATTAATGCAATACAAGCTAAGTCTACTGAAGAGCTGGAAAAGTTAGAAGGAAGAATGCCTAATGTCGGTATTGTTAGCATTTATGGTAGCTATCTCGTCGGTGCTTTTCTCAGGGATATTGTGTAAGTTTTATATACATTACTTAAAAAATAATTGGTAGTTTTCATAAAATCTGCATAAGTAAATGAGTAAAACTAATGAATCTCTCTTTATGAAGTTTATTCGAATTTGATGTCATTAGTGATGCTCTTAAGATAATTTTTCTTGAAGATTTATATTAGTTCATAAGTCACTGAATGCAGTACCTGCAGTAATCACTATCTACAGCAGTAACAACGAAGTTCTGGTACATATTTAACTATGATTTTACTCATTTATTATTTCTAAACTTGTTCAAAAGATTTGATTAAGAAACAAAATGAAATGTTGTCATCGTCTTTTTCAAAAAATTTGTAGTCTGAACATTTTCGAACTATTAGACTTTTGAATATGTTTAAGATTTTTTGCTTTTACGAGTAATGCAATGCTAAACATAAGATACTGCGTGATTCGTGGTTAAATTACAGTTAAGTATAATTTAAAAACCATGTACTTCAGAAATAATTGTATTTTCAATTCGACTATTTTTTTAAGGGGAGTTATTTTATGTGATAAAAAATTTTTATATTGTAGAAAATGAGATTGCTTGTTTTCTGATAAGCGTAAGTTAGTCAACCAGACATTTTAAGTCCTTTTTAAAAGCGATTATTGGAGATTCATTTTGACAGGATGTTTCGAAGGAACTAAAAATTTTGGACACGGTTTGTTACCATACTCGTCAGGTATTTATTTTTTAGAAGTCTTAAAAGTGCTAAATTGTCATTTAAGTAAGTAAACAATATTTTGTATTCTTATATTGCTTCGTAAAGAAATTTGAATGAAATTCATTTTATTAGTTCAAACTGATTTGTAAATTATCTCGAGATTGATGATTTTTTTTCAATAAAAAATAGTTGTTGATGATTGATTGTTTTGAAAGGAAGATATTGAATCTTGAGTTTCATTTGAAACTTAATGTCTTCATAAATCAAAATTTTGTATTGTAAAATTAGGTAAAAATGAATCGCGTCCAATCAAAATTTGTTTGTATTAGTGTACAAAACAATTTTAAAAAAATACCATTTTTTCATTTTCGATTAACTTTTTTTATTACAGCTACGACCAGGAGATGCACGGTTTTTCATGTTCACTGCAGAATCTATCCGGGCATTACTAATAAGATCAAAATCTCCAGATATTTACATGAAATCACCAGATATGCAAATTTTTGTTTGCGAAGACCACTTACAATTTTTTAATATTTGTTTAAAATTGTATAAATTTTGAAATAAAATTGCAAGCTTAATACTTTAAGTCGATTCGAATATTACTAAAATATTAAAGATAACTTTTTATAATTAGCTTAATTCCAGAAGAAAACTTTTATCTGCTTTAGATGAACTGACAAGGACCTTACATGAATGGCAAAAAAGCATTTATCCGGATAATCCATATGATACACCCACACCGGGATTTTTACTGGTCGATCATCTTCAAGAAATTATTGGTGGTCAACCTACTGCTTTTATTGCTTCTCATCAATTTGGTCATGAAGAACAACTTTCAAAAGAACCGTGGTATTGGGCATATTTGTTAGCACGACGTTGTGGTCCTATCCACTGCTTGAATAATAAATACGGATCTTTGCTGGAGGAATTTCGAGAACAGTCTCGAAGTTTTTACATTAGAATATTTCGCTTAAAGATGCAGCACCGAGACCTTATCCAAAATTATGCAAGGCGAAAAGACTTGATAATTAAGACTATCAGGATGAGGAATGGTAAAAATGTATTAGATAATCTGATCACTACAATAAATTACATCTGGAGAATCAGCACTGAGGAACTATATTATATCGAGTTGTCGATTGAGACATTAATAAGTACTATTCAATATGAGTTATGCCCAGCTTTAGAAACACTCTATCAGGAGCTTTTTAAACTTTGGACAGATGGTTGGATTCGTCAAGAAGTACGTCGTTTCAAGTTACTAATAGATATTTACTATCAGAATATTGAGGCTCCATCTGAAAAATACGTGAGCTCTTGCGAAAAACGACTTGCATTTATTGCTTTAACCGGTTACCGTATTGATATGGTACTGAAGTCATGTTTTTAGCTAATTAAAGTTATTAAACAGTTGAATTTTTTATTATTTGCACATTGCTTGGCAGAATGAGTTGTGGTTACAGTCTAAGTTTAAGCTCAGTCATTAAGCATCTTCACTTAATATTCGTCCTGAGAGCATTTTTCTGATTGAAAACTTATTTTTCATAGTTTAGTACAGAAGTTTGAAAGTCATTCTTTGTTTGAAATATATTTCAGAGTAATTATAAAGCGTCTTCTCAAACTGCATAATTTATTGCGTTTAATATGGTAAATTAGTAAGACCTCACTATCCTTTTTTGCAATATTTCCTTCATATGTAAAGATTAAAAAACTGATGTCTTGCAGAGCGCTTAATCTTCATTTTATTTTCGATAGTTATCAGTCGCAGTATAAATCTTATTTCAATAAATCAGAATAAAATTTAATAACAATCATACTAGAAAGTCAATAATTTTTTATTGATCATTGCTTACAAATATTTTTTCTTTTTAGTGACAGTAAATAGCTTTTGATTCAACCAATGCATTCACTATTGCCAAAGTTTTCAACAGATAATAATTTCAATAAAAATTCCAAAATATTGTTGCAGCTTTCTTTCTAAAATCTGTTTGCACGAAATCTTTCTCGTTTTAGAATACCAAAAATAAGCATTTGAAACATCAGTATTCGTAGTTAGCATTTTATAGCGGAGTTTAGTTAGTATTGTTTAGAGTGTGCGCATGTCATTTTTTAAATTTTTGACTGATTACATTTGTCCAAATTGCTAATGGATAGTGATTATGAACATCCTTCGATAAATATTTTTACGCTGATAGGGATGAGTTACTGTACTATGGTTATTGTAAACGAATTAGACGTGAAATTTTAAACAGACTATATTAATTTTGTCTTTTTTACTATGTATCTGTGCCTTCTGGATAAATATGTATGTAAATGTCTTGTCAACAAATGACTCGAAAAGTCATTAGAAAATATATAATATGAGTTAATATGATGGTATTACCGAATTACTAGCAACAAAAATAAGAGAGAGAAATGAAAAGAGAATAAAATTTGTACAGAATTACTGCCTAGAAGTAAGTATTTTCTAGTACTGCAGATGAAGGAATAATGAAGGATAATATTAAAGAAGAACGATAGATGCTCGTCAGATGGAACTCGCTATGAAAGGCTAATTATAGAAAGATATTAGCAATATAATTAATTGCTAACGATAAAACTTTTTGAATAATATAAAAAATGTAGAAGACTGAAAAATTTTTAGTATGAATTCTCAAAGAAACCCAAACAAATTGATGCAAAGCTATTTGACTGATTTTACAGCTACTATATTTTTCGTTTCAGTGATAACAAAGCTTTGGGTTTAATTCTTTTCAACCAATGCATTTACTTTTGCCAAAATTTTCAATACATGATAATGTCAGTAAAAATTTAAAAATATTCACTTAAATTTTAATTTATATTTAATTAAATTTAATACCTAATCTCATTGATTAGCTAACAAAATAGTTCTACAGTTGAAAAGTATAATTTATAATAGACAATTCTTATAAAATTTCTGATAATAAGCCAAAATTTCATATTTACCATTCAAAAGATTTGAAAAATATTAGAAACAGAAAAAAAGAATAGCTGTTTGAAATTAATAGAAATAACTGTTTTATTTCAGTACTAGAAGAGAGTTCAATAAAAAAATAAATTCTTGGTTCAACAAAAAATTTTTGCAGTTCTGTTATAGACCACCAAATAATGATTATCCTGACCTACATTATTAACAATTCTTGGAAATCCTCCAGAAGTATTGACCACGATGATGCAATAGTTTCATATGATGCCGATGACTCCTCATGTGTACTCATAAAGGGATAAGTGGGATTATTACCAATCAGTTTCTCTTATACTACATACATTCTAACTGTTTTAAAGTCAACTGACATTATGACAAAGCAACTTTCCACAATTAAACCTACTCCGTAGTCAAGACGTTGCTCAATAATGCGCTGTACACGATAACATTTGGAGTTAGATTTTATTAAAGAATATACATATGAAACAAATAAGAACAATTAAGTAAACAATTTACATCTAATCACTGATAACTTTAATTATTAAACAATATACACATGAAACAAATTAAAACATTTAAGTTAACAATTTGAACCTAATCACTAATAACTTTCATTCATCAAAGATCAAAAATAAGCGCTGTTAACATTAAATCTGTCCCACACCAGTTGACATGCAACCTTCCATGAACTCGACAGTCCGGTGTTCAAATCGAGAAGAAAACTGCAATAGAGAAAATTACAAGTGAAGATCTTCTATCCACACAAAAATTTTATTTCTACATTACGAAAGAAATTTTCAGGCTTTACCTGCAATAATTTTCAATCGCTATAAGCATGCAATTAATTTACAAAAAAAAAAAACTATTTTATTGAGTTAGACATACCTGTTACACGCAATACTTTTTATTCATTACTGTGTTTGCTGCCCATTCCACAGCATTATTTCTTCCAAAAATTATAAATTATTTAATTCTGAAATATTTAATCATCACAGCATTAATTTTGAATGACTTGGAAGGAATTTCATTTTTAGTAGTATTCAGGAAAATGTTAACATGTAAAACAGGGGACTGTAGAAACTCTGCAGAAAATTGGTATGCTAGATGACGACCCATAACCACCTAATTTTCTACCTTCAATTTCAAAATTTACTGCTGACTACTTTCTAAGAAGAGAAATTCGATTTAAGCCAAGATCATTTTAAAGTCAAAAAGCTCAAAACTTACTTAATGATTTAAAAAATGCGATCACGCTATCGTGCGCGATTCACATTTAACAGAAGCGGAGAGCCGGGTAGAGTAGACCACCATAATTTTTATGGCGGTGCAATAAAATCAGCGCTTAAAACATCCACTGTATGCATTCCACACCATCGCTCCATCCGCTTCGTCACTTTTTTTTTTTTTTTT